TTTTGTGGGAGGTTTGTAATGGTCGTTGGTGGGTGGATGGATGGATGATAGTTTGGTAGAAAATGGTTTTATTAACGGAAGAGCATCTCCTCTCTCTCTCTCTCTCTCTCTCTCTCTCTCTCTCTCTCTCATCCATTTCCAGCGACCAAGGTAGCATCTTGCCCTGGGTGACGTGGTGGAGGTTTATTGAGAGATAATGATGTGAAAAAAGTGAGGAAAGTAGAGAGGGGGAGAGCTCGAGAGAAGGAGAAACAGAGAGAGAGAGAGAGAGAGAGAGAGAGAGAGAGGAGATGAAACAGAGATGAGAAAGAAAAGATGAAGGAGCGAGAGAAGTAAAGAAAGAGGAAGAGAGAGTAGGGCAAACACAGAGAATTTCAGAAAGATTGAGAAACAAAATAAGAGAAAGGAAGAGTTTTTTTTGTGTGTTTAGGTGTAAGAGAGAGAGAGAGAGAGAGAGAGAGAGAGAGAGAGTTGATAATAAGTGATAATTTCTACAAGAATTTTAATAGTGCATTATAAAAGTGACTTTATAATCAGCTGTTTTGTGGCGCAACACTCACCCCACACACACTCTCTCCCTCGCCTAGATAAACACGCCACCCCCACACCCACACACCTCCTCACGCCCACGCCCACACACACACTTCCTGGTCTTACACATAATTGTCTTGAAACTTTGATCTCAGTGACCCAAATTTTTGCCAGTTGGGTTGACACAAGAGGTACCCCAAGACCTTTTGATGGGGGGGTGGGCGGAAGGGGCTGCCTGTCCCACTACCCACACCAGCGCTCGCACCACCCACTTGCCCCACCACGCGTACCGCCCACACCATCGCGCGCACCACCCACCTGCTCCACCAACACCTATACCACCCACTCATGATAATACACCCTCTACTACCATATACCCACACCACCCACACCATCCACACTACCCATATCCACCCCTCCTCCTTCCCCCCTCCCCCACTCTCTGAACAAAGAATCCAAATCCAATCATTGTTATTCAGATATTTGGGATTGGAACTCCTTACTTTTGGTGTCCAATCCTTCTCACTTATTGGTAATCCTTTTTGATTTTTGCATATTTACGATTTCTGACAAACTCTTATATTCTCCCTCTCATTCTACCTCATTTTCCGCCTTCCTCTCCTCCTTATTCACACTCTCCTTCCTCTCCTCCTCACCTTCCCAATCGTCTTCTCTCTCTCCTCTCTATCCCGTTCACTCTCCCTCCCTCCTTCGATCTCTCCTTTCCCCCCCTTTCTACCTCTCCTCCTCCCTCTCTCTACCTCTCCTAACTTCCCTGGCAACACACTAAAAAAATAAATAAATAAATAATTTCCCTCTAGTTTAAGATTTAAATTTTCATATCGTCAATAATTTATCATCAACTCTTATCAGCTGAGTGTTTATAAATGGAGTGGTTTCTGTTCTCTGTATGTGTGTGTGTCGTCCATTCTTCGTTATCTTTCATCTTTTGTTTTGATTATTTATTTTAATTTGTTGTTATTTTGTTTTATTCTTATTGAGGCTCTCTCTCTCTCTCTCTCTCTCTCTCTCTCTCTCTCTCTCTCTCTCTCTCTCTCTCTCTCTCTCTCTCTCTCTCTCATACCTCTATTTTGGTGTTGCTATTTTTTGCTGGGGATCAAGCGAGCTAGGGCGTCCTCCTACCCTACCCTCCTCCTTCCTCTTTCTCTTCCTCGTCTTCCTCTTTCCCCTTCCATCTTCTTCTTATTTCTTCCCTCTTTCATATTCTTCGTGTTTCTCCCTTCCTCTTCTTCTTTCCTTTCCCTCCTCCTATTTCTCATTCTCTTCCATCCTATACCCCCTCACCCCCCTTTCTCCCTCCGTCTTTCTCCCACCCTTCTGTTCCTCTTCTCTTTCCACCTTTTTTTCCTGTTTCAACTTTCATTCCTCCTTCTCTTCCATCTCTCTCTCTCTCTCTTGCAGCTGGTGGTGGTGGAGGGAACAGCTGTGTCAGAATCTCCCGTCACTCGGGAGATTAAATTCCGGTTTCAGGAAGAGAAAAAAATAAATTAACTCCGGGTTATGAAATTCAGTAGACAACAGGACTCCTCTTGAATATTTTGCTCTAAAGGAAAGACGAAAGAACAGCAGCAGCAATGATAATAACGACTACTACTACTACTACTACAAGAGAGAACTATCCTTGGGTAGTCAATAGTTACTAAAAGTCACGCGCCATTAATGTCATCGCACGTAAGAGAGCTGCTAAGGACACGTCTGTTGAGGACTTGATCCCGTGTGACATATAGGACTCTCATGAGAAGCCCTGGATAGATTCCTCATTTTCTTACGAGTTCTATTAAGGAGGTCATTCCCACCTACCCCTCCTCCTCAAGACAGCTGGCACTTCTCCCTCTACCTGCTCGCCCCCCCACACCTTCCACCCACCCCAACCACGCCTTGTTGTCACGCCCACATGACTACGCCTACTAGTACCTCTCCTTCACCTTCCTCATCATCAATTACTCTCTCTCTCTCGGCAGGTGGGTAGTGTCACACACCCATAGTCAAGTGGGTTGTGGTTCTACTTCCCTCCACCTTCCCGCCCCCCTCACTGCCAGTGCCCACCACCCCATAACACCCACCATCACCACCCCCTAACACCACTAGTACCCCGCCACTCCTCCTTGGCACCTCTGTCATCATCAGCAGCAGGACTTGGCTGGCAGGAGGAGAAGTCGTCTCTCTCTCACAACAGCTGAGTATATAACCTAACCTAACCCTGAGATAGTCTCATCCCACACAACAGTAGATAGTTCGTCCTCTGCCTCACTGAACAAGACTCATCCTTTGTTTTCTTTATCTTCTATTTCCCCTTTTCATTCGTTCTCTTCCTGAGCTATTTTGTGTTATGTTTGGATAAGCCACAGTTTGTTCTTCAGCCATGTTATTTTTGTTCTTGTATAACAATTACCTTCGTGGGTTTTATTGTTTGTTGTTGTGTGTTCATTGTATCATTGTGTGTTCTGTTTCTGCTATGTGACAATAATTACTCAAAGTTTGTTCTATTTGTTACGTTGATTCTCTTAAGACTGTAAGCCTCTCTCTCTCTCTCTCTTTATTTCCAGCATGACACCGAGTAAGGCACAGTGCTAGTGTTATGGCACCGGTGTAGGGGACAGTGACCTCGTATTGTGTCACTGTGTAGTAATATGGCCGCCACTACCTTGCCATAAACAGATGTATTGTATCGGTAATTCTCCCCCACACACTCATACTGTCACTATATGTAACTTGCCGACGAAATCTATGGCCATTCAGGCATTTACGCTTTTAATGTATGAGTCGACAAGGCGCTGTAAACGCTTTTTGCGCTACGCCTTGCACAGGATGCAAGGGAGTGTTCAATAAACTAGCTACCTCGCGGGGCAAATCATAAATTATATCACCGTGTTAGGGTACTGCCGGGGGACTTTTTAGGCTGCCAGTGCCTTTGAGTTATGGTATGATCAGGTGAGAGAGAGAGAGAGAGAGAGAGAGAGAGAGAGTGCGCCAGTGTACCACAATACAGCACCAGCGCCAACATAAACACAGACCACACCTTGGACCATACCTCCTACGCCATTAACCTCCAGCCACTACTCCGGCCTCATTTAAAGTGTGAGGCCATCCTACACCTCCAATCCCTTCGTCTCGTTCATCACTCTAGTTCACTCGTTACGCTACTCCCGCCTCGTTACTTCCCCTAAAGAAATATTAAATAACTAACTACACATAAGAAACAAAGACTAATAATAATTCACTTCACTTTCCTTCATTAACCTCTAAACTTCCTGCATGTGTAAAGGTTATATTCATCTCCGTCTCTCTTAACTTCCTGTGATCACTTCCTCCATAACCTAACCCACGAAGTTCTGTGTTGAGTTAATAAGTCAAGGTTACGCAAAGCAAACTCCCTCACTACTACACAGGAAAGAACTCTCCTGTAATGGGCCCCTGTCTCATCAACAGAACATATTATATAAATGGGTCAATACATCTGATATTATATTCAGATTCACCCTCCTGTAACTTTCCACTGTCTATGAGTATGACATGAGTTGGACACGTGAGCGGGCAACTCTCCCAGGAGGGAGTGACCCTAGTCAGCATTTCTGTAAGCCCGCACAGCGAGGCCCTCACTCTTCAGTCGCTCACAACTTATATCGTAAGGACGTGACCAAACGTTTATAATACATAAACGCCGTCCCTTTCTCATTCACTCCTATACAGTGGAACTTACGGTCGATCTACACTCAGGAATTATATATACAACCCTTTTATAATAAAACAAGAACTACCGTTTGGGTTTCGTTACTTAAACCCAAATAATAAATATATGTGAACGGCCTAATTAATTACACAAGCAGCCGATTCACTCCCACACAGAGAGTATTCTTGGCTGGCATAGTACACAACCAAGATACTGTACACACGGGTTTACAAGATGAGTCATAATAACAACTCGTAACTAACAGGTAAATTGGGAAGACTTTAACAAACTTACCGTATACAGGCACCTTTGAAAGACCTATGTATACATGTATCTAATTCATTTAGCAGACCAAAGTATAAAGACCTATCCTAGAAGACCCTCATATGTATAATAACAACCCGTCAGGAGTATTCATAGCAAGTGGTTCCCAGTGACACCTACCCACTAACATACACTGAGAGATTATCCAAGATCAGCCGCCATACACACAATCTCTCTCTAAGACCCCCTACACACTTCTCTCTAAGACTCCCTACACACTTCTCTCTAAGACCCCCTACACACTTCTCTATAAGACCCCCTACACACTTCTCTCTAAGACCCCCTCCCCCCCCCTACCCCATATGCACAAAGTCTCAGTGAAAACCTATGTACAGTCCGCTCTTCAGAGAAACATAGACCATTAATTAAACCCCCGAGAAAGACTCAGTTTTTTGGGTTAAGTCTTCCCCGGGTAGAGAGTCGAAGTCACTCATGGTAAGCTGGCAGTACTCACAACAATGCTCTCATTCATGGTGGTGGCAGAGGTAGGTAGGTTCCTTAAGTAGTCGAACGAGTAGTGGAGGAGGAGAACGAAGAAGGGATCACCAGCCTCGAGGGGCTCCGGAAGACGTCTGCGCTACACAGGGCAGCTGGGGTAGCCACTCCAATCTTCCTTCTGACAGCCCACGTCACTACTGAAATAATCACTTGGTTCTCCCCCTTTTAAAAGCAGCTGCAACCTCGCCCTGCACCCGCCCGGGAACACCATATGCGATCCTTTAGGGGTCACAAGGGGTGGAAAAAGTATCGTACGCCGCCTCGCTCTCCTGCCGCTGTTGCTGCCACTCTCACACGGAACACATCAACTATTTAGCAGCTGTTGGCTAATATAAAAGACAAGTAGTCATTTCGAGCTTTCATCCATCGGTAAAGTTGGATACAGCGAGTTAAAAATATTAAAAAGAGATTTGCTGGTATTATCGTGCGCCGGCAGGCTGAGGGCCGCACGTCATAGTCCAGACGGAACCCTTTCCCTAACCCCGAGCCTCTGATTGGTCAAGTACTGTAAACTAGCCTGGATTAATTGGCTAGGGGAGGCGGGGCTCGCTTATAGTCCTCCTCTTCCCCCTCTTCTCCTCTTCTCCCTCCAACACTAGCATTATTAATTTATCTACGCTTTCTTGGTACTATTTTTAAGATCCCTGGCGGGCATATTAGTCGAGGCAGATGGCGTATGATGAGCCTCTGTCTTGTGTCTGATACTGGCTTATAGAGGGAAGCAGAGGGTGAAAGTCGGCGCAACGGAGCATAAAAATGAAGCTGAGATGATGTTCCTTACACACACACACACACACCACGGAAAAATGACAACTTTATCAAAACCAACTCACTTCCGCTTTGCTTTTCCTTAGAATCTCAGTTTAAATGTGTGTGTGTTGGGGAAGGACGTGTGTGTTGTGTGTGTGTGTGTTGGTGAAGAGGACGTGTGTGTTGGTGAAGGGGGACGTGTGTGTGTTGGTGAAGGGGGACGTGTGTGTGTTGAGTGAAGGGGACGTGTGTGTGTTGGTGAAGGGGACGTGTGTGTGTGTTGGGGAAGGGGGACGTGTGTGTGTAGGTGAGACGGGTGTTTTAAAGGTTAGGTTAGGTTAGGTTAGGTTTGTGTATGGGGCATTATGATGGTCACAATGGTGGGTCATGGTAGTTATGGTGGTGTGATATAATAGCTTTGGTGGCGAGTTATGGTAGTTATAGTGGCGATTTATGGTAGTTACAGTGGCGAGTTATGGTAGTTATGGTGGTGTGATATAATAGCTTTGGTGGCGAGTTATGGTAGTTATAGTGGCGAGTTATGGTAGTTATAGTGGCGAGTTATGGTAGTTATAGTGGCGAGGTATGGTAGTTATAGTGGCGAGGTATGGTAGTTACAGTGGCGAGTTATGGTAGTTATGGTGGCGAATTTTAATAGTCATGGTAGTGAGTTATGGTGGCGTGATATGGTAGTTATGGTGTTATCTATGGTGGGTCATGGTGCCGAATATGGTAATCATACCATAATCCACTTGAGCAGAGATTATATTAGTTTTATTATTATATTTTGGTCCATAATTTAGAAGTTTGGATCCTGTTATTCATCTCAGTTATGTTTGGACTGACTGACTGACTGACTGACTGCCAGACTGACTGATTGAATGAATGTATAAACGAATGGACATCTGACTGACTGACCGACTGAAGGACTGAATATATGAACGAATGGATAATTAACTAACTGACTAACTGAATAAATCAATGAATTAATGACTGACTGACTGACTGACTGATAGAAATTTTTCCACCTTTACCCTTGCTCCGCCCTCTCATACGGTGCTGCCAGACGTAGGATTATCTCCCTCTAGTAGTTTTTAATCACTACTTCTTATCCACCATCATATATATCACAACAAAGAATAAATTACAACCCCCCCAAAAATAAACTAGATCTCATTTGCATACGAGATTATTGATTATATTATGAGAATCAATTGAAAGTAATATTTATTCAGTGTCTAACGCCTATTGGTTGAGCTGGACGTGTGATGGTGAGGTTAACTTTTTGTTTACATGAAGCGTCAACATTTGATCAAATTGGGAAGCCAAATGAGACCCCTTTAACTTACCTGTGAAATGCTGTTGAGTTAAAGTTACCTGTGTGTTTATCTTCATACCTGTCCAGTTTTAGTGAGAGTTCTTTTGTGTTTACGAGAGAGAGAGAGAGAGAGAGAGAGAGAGAGAGAGAGAGAGTAATGTCCACCTTGTCTTCAACTATCAATTACAAAAATACAAATGGAAGGCTTGTAGGGATAATTTACATTCTATATTTAGGACACTGGTAGCAGGACAGTAGTAGCAGTAGTAGTAGTAGTAATAGTAGTAGTAACATTTCTTAAGTCGAGTTCACTATTGGACCACCAGCTGCGTCACCCAACACCACACTCTTTCGTCAGTAGGCAGGAGTCGCGTCAAGACCTCACCTGGGAGCTTCATCATGGTGCTGCACTTAAATTATCGCCAGGTATCATTAAGAAAGCATATTCCAAAGACTGTTTTAACGCAGTCATAAGCCAACACATATACGGACTTGTTAAAAGACAAAACCACACGTAGAGTGGAATTTGTAATCGATATTGTAGGCATTAGTAATTCATCGTCAAACTTAAATTGCTCGACCTTTTTCCCGTAACTTAACCTAAAGACAAACTAAATGGCATCAAAATTGTACTAAGACTCTACCATAACTACCATGGCTAGTTTAATGAGCAGTATAGTTTAGGAAGATAATATTTACATACAGAATGACCTTAAGTCCTTTATGAACACGTTCTCAAATCCCCTACAGTCTTTACTATTGTTTACTGGTCGTCTAGAAGGCCAGGTCTTGTCCTTGTAGATGTGATTACCAGGGGCGTTGTGGAGTCACCACCCGCAGCCAAGATAAATGTTCAAACACCCAACCTCGTCAGGATTATTAGTTTTGTTTGTGCTAAAAGAGAACTCTCTCTCTCTCTCTCTCTCTCTCTCTCTCTCCCTTTCTCCCCTCACACCTTACGAACCCCTCCTTCCCTCACGCCTCACGAACCCCTTCCTAACCTCACACCTCATAAATCTCTCCTTCCCTCACACTTTATCATCTTCTCTAATGACTTGACATAACATGAAACTGAGGAGAACCACCAGCACGAGAGAGAGAGTTTATACCTGTTCTCAAACCTTTCCTTTTGTTATCCTCTGTCAAAATAAGCTGATGTTACCCGGTCTTCTGCTACCTCCTCTCACCTGCTTAACGAGAGTGAGAGGGTTTGTGTTAATACTCTCACTTGGTGATTATTATTATTATTATTGTTATTGTTTATTGCGTGTGTGTGTGTGCGTGTGTGTGTGTGCGTGCAGAGAAAGAGCTATCCCTCTTCGTGTTAGCAAAGACAACAAATTAGACTTTCATTAACTAATTAATCACTGTCAAAGAGACAATGTATGCTGCATGGGAGTATAAACTCTAGAAAACGCTATACTCACATCTAGCCAGCTTTGACTCTCATTTCTTTTCCCCTTTTATAAGCGTTTTAACGCCAACTGTAAACCTGAAGTAGCTTAAATATACATTATTATATTATATAACATATGATCTATCTCAAAACGTCTACTAAAATACTTTGTAAGCTTTAAAATGTAATATAATTCGTAAATATACAAATGGTTATAGCAATGTAAGAGTCCACTCCCATGAAAACAATTCTCGTTTGTTTTGCTCTACTCATTTTGGGGCGTATAATGGGCTACACAAATATGGCTGATGAGAAACGGTCATATAAACAAAATATAGTTATAATAGACTCTCCTGGTTGAAAACTTTGTATAAATGACATATTAACACTCATCTATAATGTCCATATCACCCAACCCCCCAAAACGCTCCCAGAATGCATTACGTCTCATGTTTGTTTACATTCGTGACGTCACAGTGACATATGACAATTTCCCCCCTCTTACGAGTTTTAAATTCTTATGCAAATACCTAATTTATGATAACTATATGAAATTGAACTTAATTATACGATAAACATGTGATATTAACTTAATTCTATATTATATTTTCTTTTATATGAACTTAAAAATACTAAATACTAAATACAGGTTATACATTGTACTTTAATTCCATTTTAAATAGATCCTGAACTTCCTGAAATTAAATATGTATGATACAATATGTTTAGCTTTCTAATATAAGCTATGAATTGAGGTAAAACTTATAATTATGAGTAAGAGGCATCTGATTACAGCTTTCACAATCCCTAAGTTAGAATATAGCTTTTGTTGTTACCTTGAGCTCTGAATATAGCTTTTGTAAACTTTCTCATAATATGGCCTCTGTAAACTCTCTCATAAATTAGAATATAGTCTTTTTAAAATACCCAGAATATAGCTCCAATATGTCATATATTAGAATATAACCTTCATAGACTATAGCCGTTGTAAACTTCCTATAATATAGTCTATGTGTTTCTTATGGTAGAATATAACTTTTTGTAGCCTAAGAGCTAAAATATAGCCCTTGTGATCATTGTATTATAATATATCCTTTGAGACACTTTGGTTTGGCTATAGTGTTAATAACCTCTCTTAGAATATAGCCTTTCTTAACTGACTTGCTAACTGATTGACTAACTGACTCACTTGACTAACCATATGACCAACTGACTGTCTGACTAACTAACTAAATAACTAACTGACTCACCAATCGACTAACCCACTGACTGATCCACTAATTGACTAACATACTGAGGTGAGTTGTTCATCTATGTTCCCTCCACCGCGTCTCTGGCCCGCTCTCATCCCAGGTACCTCGCTGCACCCCCACCACCACACGCGTCACTAGCACCTGACTAGCAGTGTCTCTTAACTAATATCTTCAAGTAAGGACTAAGAAAAGGGTCTTAATTCTCTTATGGTCTTGGGTCTTAATTCTCTTATGGTCTTTATTTCAAGTTTATTCCACATCCAAGTTATCAAAAACTCGTAAGATGAATATTTTCTCGCACTTGAATAAATTGACTTACAGTGAAAAAAAAACACGAAAATAATTGATATACTTAAATAACATTCGAATTATAATGAAATTCTACTTTACTTGGAAATATCGCATTTAATATCGTTCAGAAGAGAAAAGATAGGAGAGAGAGA